TCACCATTAAGTGGAGAAAAGGAATTGGGATGACCTAGTCCGGTGGGTGTAAGGCAAACAGCAAAGCACTGCCATTGATGAAACAAACTTGATTTTAGCACATTCTCTAGTTAGTCAGAGTCATCAATCATGAATTAAGTTTGTTCTCTTCTTCCTCCTCCGTCTTTCCCTGAGCTGCATTATAAAGCAGTGCTGTGACTGGAATCAGGAGTGCATTATCTGGGAGCAGGCAGGGATGGAGACTGTGGGTAGGGACTAAGCCAAGGCATGGAGAGACAAGCAGAGCCCAGTTTGCAAGAGCTGCTTGAGTCAAGTGCTGCCTCTTAAAGATAGTTCTGGAATGATGATCCAACCATGGATACTATGTAAGCCATGCATTAGTCCTGTTACTTCCTTAGTGCCTGTTCCCTGCACTGCCTGTTTTACCTCTCAAGCCTGGAGTTGCCCCTTTTGCTTGCTCCTGATGCAGGCTTTGGCCCCAGCCTGGGTATTCCTCTCCTTGTCACTGCCCCATCTTTAGATGCTCACAGTTTCTCACAGTGTGCAATGCTTCCTAAAGTCAGCCAAATATGCAGTTTTGAGGATGCACTTCTAGCATGTGCTGAGCTCAGAAATCTGCCTTCACCAGTTTAATTCTCCTATAAGAACATGCCAGAAACATTTTGTTCTCTTAACATGTCTGTATACACATGTATATTCATCTGTGTATCTGTGTGTATATCCCATTATTAACAGTGAGAATTAAGTGAAGGCATCAGGGATTAAATGGACTGTAAAATTTCCATGCCATCTGCCGAAACAGCACACTGGCTTCAAAAGAATGCTCAGATGTTTATAAAAGCTAGACTGAATGATGATGATGATGATGTCTCTATGTGGGGGAAAACACTAATTTCTCAACTGGCAAATTCTTTTGAAACTCAAGAATGTTTGCTATGTGATATGCCATATTTCAGATTTTGATTCCAGTTTTCTGCTCTGTTAGAATAGCATGTTGATTGAACAAAACAAAGTTAGTGATATGACAAAATGTTTTGATATCTTGTCCTTGAGAGAGTCTCAGAGACTCTTTTCTTGAGAGAGTTTCTCACCTCTCAATGGGAGGGTGCTGGTTGGCAGCCTGGGCTGAGGCTGCAGCAGCCCCAGTTTTGGTGACAGTAGCTATGTCATTGGTTTTGTCCTTCAACAGAAGCATGGGATGAAAGCAGAACCGGGTGGCATTAAGGTGCCAAATCTGTAGATTGAAGAATACAAATTCAGTTATTGGTATTGGTTATGCTATTAGCCAAGTTCAGCCAATTGCATTTATGTTGAGCAACACCCAGAGCTTGCTGGAGCCAGTGGGAGTATTGCCATCAGCTTCCCTGAGGAGTAGGATTTTGCTTATTGTTTATATTAGCCATATATTTATGGGAGCATGTGGGAGCAAATGCAAAGGTATTGAATTGAATTGAATTGAATTGAATTGAATTGAATTGAATTGAATTGAATTGAATTGAAGAAGCCAGTAAGCAGCTTTATGCATTTACTTTGTTACACAGGTAAAAGCTGAGGCAGCAAAACTCGTCTGCTAAGCCTTCAACACATTTCTATAAAATCTATGTTAGTTAGTAAGAGTATTCTTTTCTATTTTATTTATGGCCTTGGCTGCCTGAATGAGTGCATCTGGAGCTCAGATGTCTGATGCCCTTATTGTAAATTAGTTAACTTGAAAAACTGCAAGCGCTGTCAGATCTTTGCTGTGGAAATGCCAGGCTCTGTAGTTGAGGTGCTTTTGTGTGTGCGTATGTTTTTTTATGTGGAAAGATTCTTGAAGTTTATGCATAAACACTGTTCTCTGTCTCTCTTTTTTATTTTTTCCCCTCCCTCTTTTGTTACAGACTGTGGACTACCATTGAATATTCAGGGAAAGCTCCCCAGGGAGATTTTAAACAGAACCCTAATGCATGGACACGAAAGGACAAACATTCTGGTGGGAATACTTGTGCAGATACCCTGCTTTGGGGTCAAAATGCATTAAACAGCTGCTTGCATGCTAAAGGTGCTTTTAAAATCAATACAGACCAGAAATTACAAAATTTATAAATAGAGATGGTGCTCAGTGAGAGTAGAAGTACTTCAGTGACGCCTTTTGTTATAAATCATACAACAGTATATAGCAGTCCTAGAGAGAATTGCATCTAAAAATACCTTTCTGCAGAGCTCAGAGTCCCAGATAGTGCTGAAAGTTACTTCAGGGAGCATTTGTCGATATCCTTCTGTGTCCTGGAGGGCTATGGGAACTGAGACTTAACAGCAGTAGGAATTAGATGCTTTGACATGAATAAACTGCTGTTATCATCAGTTACTGATTACACTGTTGTGGAAGATAGCTTATTGCTATATTTTAAAAATCTACATTAAAAGAAGTTGAATAAAACCGTTACACAAACTAGCCATAACAGCACATATAATTGGGGCTGCTGTGCAGTAGCTAAACTCAGGTAGAGTCCAGCTGTAAACACTGATAAGTTGGATGGGTCAGCATCTGAAACTGGGTTGCATAAGAGCAGCATGGTAATGTCAGAACTGCAATGTGGCTTTAATTGCCTCACAGCCGGTATTTACCATATTGCTATGTGCATATTTAAGAATAAATGCAATTTAAAAATATTTAATTCTGAAATAAATATATTGCCTTACCACTGCTGCACATTTGCTTTGTGGGTCCTTCTGCCTGACTCCACATTACTGCTGAGCTCTGTCCTCAATGGAAATAAGTGTTATTTGCAGTATAGAAGTGCAGCAGCATTTGTATAATACTTAGACCATTCAAGTTCCCACTACAGACTACATTTTATTATGTGTGCATTTCATAAGGCCCATTGCTTCTATTGCCGCTGTCTCATGTTATAGTAATCCCTAAAAAAGCTGCCACTAAGTTGAAGCCCTTTGTTCTACATGCTGCATGCTTGCAGCTGCTGCAAGCATTTGACAGCTTCAAAGTCCGTATTTCTTAAGTTCCATCTTAGTTTGGGGTATGCAGTATGGAGCCCTGCAGCACTGCACTCTGCATCCTCAGCTTTTTATTGCTGCCTGTTTCCTGACTCTGCCCATCACTCTTCCTTCTGGCTCCTCTTTGCTTTCTACTGGTTCAGACATTTTTTTCCAACCTCACAGCTTTTTTCTGGCCTACCACTCCTAATTGTGCTCTTTAAACCATTCCTTGGAGGCATCTTCTCTGCACTGAAAGTTGTTCCCAAGCTTATTCTGCAAGCCAGTTTTGAGGACTGTGTTGGGTGTATGTATCCCATTTGCCACTTGGAAGACAGTGGTCAAGTCCCACTCTGCAGCTATAAGAAATAGAACAGCAGCTGCTGTACATGGGAGATGTAATTTTGGATTGTTTCAGAATGAGGTGGCCTCTCTAACCTTAGCCTTGCTCTGAGAATGCCTGTGGTATAACCGCATGCAACAGTTTGTGTTTGGGATGTTAAAGGGCACAATTCTCTGTGACAACACAACTGCTGTTGGCATCAAGGCAGGATTTCATATCTGCACTCGTACACGGCCACCAAAGCTAATCAGCCACCAAGGCAAGTCAGACCCCTCTTCACAGGCTGGTCCTTGCTCAAATAAATATTCTCTGAGCCCCTCAGATGGCACTTCTGGCATTAACCTGGGTGCCCTTCCATACCCCTACTTTTCATCGCTAAAATGCACAGGTATTTCTTAAATGAGTCTTGTCTCTGCTTCTGCCAGGCTCGGCTGTTTCACGTAAATTCTTGAAGAAACGAACTGCTTAAGGCCAGGAACGTTTTTGTGAGCTTGTGGTACATACTTTTCCACAGGAGGCGGGGTGCACCGTGCAGCCGGCTTGGATTCTGCTGCTGCTGCCCTGTTGGGGCTGCTCCCCCTCGGTTATGTGCTACATGATGATGGACTCAAAGGGAGGCGGGGAGGAACCCAAAAAATCTGGACTAGGGAGTGAAACGAAGCCTCTTCCATGCGTAGGGGGAGGTGAATGCCGCTTGCGCCTGTGTCCGGAAGGTGGCAGCGGCAGCCCGAGCCTGCCGGCAGCTTCTGCTTCTCCGGCACCGCCGGAGCTTGGAAACACCCTGGCTAATCCGGGCTCTCAGCTCCTTAAAGCCTCTCAGCCCTTTAAGCTTTTAACTAAGCCGCTGCTCTCATTGCCTGGCTCCAGACCTCTGAGCCCATGGGTGACAGGCTTGACGGGTGACCAGTCATCCGTGTAACTGGGCAGCTAAGTCCTGGCAGGAGCAGAAGCTCTAAGCTGCTGGATCTTTACCTCCTCATTACAAAATTAGTTTTACTGTTGAAGTGGAGAAAAGCCCGTCTGGAGACACCATGCAGGGTTGCTTTTTAAAATTATGTCTTGCAACAGATGTGTTATTACACATGCTGGCAAGCATTTCTTAGGTGTCACTACTCCAAATACTAGAAGAGGAGACAGTATTTTATTTTCTCTGTTTGGGGGAAATCTCTGTGAATGTGAAAGGTAGACCTGGAGCAAGGGTTTTGCACTGTGATCTGACACTTTCAGCCAAAGCATGAGGTGGAGACACCCTGATGCTGGAGGGCTCTCAGCTCAGCATCCCTGGGCAGTGAAACTGTTCTGCTGCAAAGGAGAGTAGATAAAATTTTTGGGCATGCTTGAGGAGTCAGACGTGTTAGGCTTTTCTGAAAGAGTGATTCTGGCTATTATGTTTCCTTTCTTGAGATGGAAGATAGCTTTCTTAATTTAGGCAATGGTTTTCCAACCTCAGAAACCACAGGGTTCCATGTGAAATTTTGGGGATATCCTGCTCTTCATGTTGGCCAGTCTATTCCCACTTTCCCTAACTAGCATTATTGCTCTTGGTTATAAAAGAAAAAAAAACCTACATATTTTCTTCCCTCTTTTCTTCACCCTATCTCACCTCAGCAGGAACCCAAACCAGTCTCCTGTGCCTACCACTTGGAGCCAACTGTTGTGGTAGGAAGGAGAAGGCAGGCACCAGGCCAGCTGCTGGTTGTGGTGCCTATGCCAGCCCTCATCTTCCAGCCACTGCCCTCCCTCCATGGCAGCCGTTCAGTCCTTCAGTTGTGAGCACTTAGCAGGCAGGAGCAGATACCTGAGCGAAAGCAATGGTCTGCCTACTGAACATGTTGGTCACTTTTGCAAAATAACCCAACAAGACAACACCCAAAATATCCCCAAACTCCCAAAGCTCTCTTCTATGCTGGTTCTTAGGCTACTGAAAGCTATTGGTTTTCATCTAGTGGCATGAGATTGAAATGCTGTCTAGAATAAACTCCTCATATCTGGGCACAGTGTGTTACTGTGTGCCTTCACTTTAACAGTGTCCTGAAAGGACACTTTTTCTTTAGAGGTATAAATTGAGTAGATAGAAGTACAGGTAATCGGGTCCATTTAAATTTTAAGAAGGTTTTACCACTAGGAAGGAAATGTGTAGTTTGAAAATAAGGAACAGACAAGAAATTATTTCAAGTTTCACAGTTGACTTTGTGCTGGAACAGCTTGCTTTTTCCCAGGTGCTTATCTGCTGTTGATGGCTTTTGGCATTATGCATATGCAGGAAGGCAGAATATGCAGCTGGACAAGAGGGCTGCATACAGAGAGAACATTTTTGACCTTACAGCAGCTTCAGATGTTGCAGTTCCTTCTTATTTCTTCCCATGTTCTTTGTTTCTTATATAGTTTCCTTGCTTAAGTTTAAGGGTTGGGACTCTTGGTTCAGTTTTTTGGAGGGTTTTTTGTTTGCTTTGCTTTGTTTTCTTTTAAATTTATTTTGTCAGTTTACACCACTTCTGATAGCTTCTTATCACCTGCTCTCTTCAAGGCAGACTGCAGGGCTGTCCCCCTTCTGTAGCAGCTGTGCTGGAGGACTGCTGATGAGGAACAAAATGGGAACTACTGAGCAGTCATTTGAAGGGTGGCTATTAAAAAGAAAAAAGCTAGCTAATTAGAGCTTAAAGGAAGAGGCAACACTGTGCAAAAACACCAGAAGGTAGGCCCTCCAAATCCCATGCACTCCCTGTAAAAAGCTATAATTGACTCCACAGTATTCAATTTATTAATTAAAATTTAATTAATATTTTCTGCCCCTAACAGTCATTTTAGAGGCGGTCAGGAAAACGTAGTGGCAGCTGGGTTTCCATAGAGCAGCAGTGACATTCAGAAGGGCAGAGCCACGGGAGACTCATCTCAGTCTCCTGGTCATACCTGTGACAAAACAGAGCTGAAACTGGTCACTGGATTTCTGGGAAAGGAGGGGAGGATGGGAGACAGTGCAAGCCCTGGTGTTCTGCATACATCCAGACACCACCCTACAAATGCAGTACTCATCTTGGTTATCTGAAAGTGTGAGAGAGCAGTAGAAAATGTGTGTCATCTTTACTTACCCACCAATTTACACACCGAGGGCTGTTGTACATCACTGTTTCACTTGGGTTTGATGTTCTGCTTGGTGCTCTGTCTGGGAGAGTGAGAGACCTCTCCTGAACTTCATGGACCCTATCAGAGTAGAACAGCTCTTGCTTAAAAATGCTGAACTTGGTGCACTGCTGTCCTTCTCCAGCAATGGGTTTCCTGGTCATTCATACTACCCATGGTCAGTATGCCCAACATCCATCAGTGTCAGAGCACTTTTCTGGACAAATCCATTGGGATCCCCAATGGGAAATGTGAGTGTTCTCAGCTGTGTAGAGCACTCCAAGGTTTGTTTCAAACAGATAGGATAGATGTGTAAGATGTCAAATGTGTTTCCTTCAGCAAGGACAGTGCTTCATCATTATAGCAATAGTATAATTTGTGCCTTCACCCATCCGTTTTCTAGAGCGCACAACCATTTTTTTTTCTGGCGTTAAAGTTTTTTGACACAGCACTGCTCTAATTGCCTGCAGCATACACCTGTTAGTACTCTTTATACTTTGAACTGAAAAACCCCGCCAAGCCCATGAACAGAAAATACTGACTGTTAACTACAGGGTCATGAGAAGAGCTGAGCACTGTGCAGCATGACTGCAGCCAGTCCATTCAGTAGGGACCAAACTCTTAACAGTGTGGTCATGAGCAATCCTGCAAAAACTGGCTTGTGAATAAGGGTCTTCAGTACAGGTCTGGTGAGAATAGCCATGAGGTAAAGGTCTTTTATTCCCCATTTGACAGAAGGGTGCATACTGAATCAGCAAGAGAATATACTCAGAGCATATCAAAAGATCTCCCGTGGGAAAATTTTCCAGTACAGAACTGTTAAAAGCAACTGGGAGAGGAGGTGGGCTGCACTGACCATCATCATGAACACCTTCTCTCTGCTTCTCTGGATGAAACACGAGGGGTTAGGCAGATTTTTGGTATATCTAGTGATTCAGGCCCTTGTAGTAGTGAAGTGGCATGACATCTCTGAATCCCAGGGAGGCAGGCACAAGCTGTGCAGTGCTATGAGGCTAGAAGTACTTCTGAGAACACCCAGAAGTAGAACTGGAGTTTTCCAGTGAACATGAGCATTAGGAAAAAAGATTATCACAATTTGTAGTCTCTTTGGCCTCCAAACTTGGGTGCAGAAATGCAACTTTAGGACCATCACAGAGCCTGCTTGTATGGTCTGTCTCCGATGGTCATGCAGGAAACCAGCCTCAGACCCATCAGGCTGTGAGTCACATCTCTCATCAGATGTGTTTTCCCAGGTGTGGCAGTGTGGGGCTAGAATGAACAAGTTCTCTACCTTTGTGTGAAAAGAGGTGCCTCTGATGCCCTGCAAAGGTGCTCACACAGGGCTGTCCCTGTTCTGCCAGCAGCAGGGCTAGAAGGGTGGAGATGAAGATGCTATTGCTATTGCACTGGTTCTGTTGGCATCAGGCTGGGACATCTGATGTGGCAATGTTGAGTCACAGCATTTAATCTTGTGTTGCCACATATGATGAAGCAGGCCTGAGCCGTTGTTATACTGTTGGTGATTCCAGGTAAATTTCAGCAGAACTGAGGGAGGTGGAGGTAGATGCTGAGAATCACTGCAGCCTTCACCCTGAAATGAAGCTCCAAAAGAGCACAGCAATTGTTCGACTGTTGCAACTATTACCTGACTTTGCATCCATCATTTAGTCTTTCTTGTCTTCCTTCTTTTCTTTCTTCCTTGCTTTCTTCTTCTCTCTCTTTCTCACTTGTAAATAATTTTAACTGAATTTTTAGAAAAGTACTTCCTGTACCTCTCAAAAATTCATCTGTTTCTTTGACTTTTACAAAGAGAATAGGGGGAAAGAACAAACTCCAGGGAACTCACTGCTAGGTTTTGAATTTGACATGCAGAACAACAAATTCGTCCAAAATGAGTTTTGCTTTACTGTTAGTCATTTGTACCAACCTGCAATTAAAAGGCTCAGCATTTGTTCTCATCACTTTCTGAAATTACATTTTCCACTTCCTAGGCCCTGGCCTCAGGCAGTGGATTTTTGAAGCAATCACTTGGTAATTAATGTTTAAAGATGAATGTTGCAACTTCTAAAACAGTGTTGCTGAGTAAGCATACAGCAAAAAGAATACAAAAACTACAAGCGTTTTACAGAAAGCTGCAGAGTTTGGAGCTGTTATCCTTAGAACTCCCAGCTACTATGCATTTGGTTACCTCTTCCTCCATTCTTTCAGGTGGGAGGGACAGCCATGCTTTAAAAAAAGCAGAGGAAAATGAATATCACACCTAATCTGTCATTTCTTTGTGTCACTGACTCATCACCCCAGAAAGCTTGCTGGGAATGATTAACTCATACAAAGACAGAGAGAGAGAGAGGAGACAAATCTTTGGCATGGTCTATAGCTATAACATGACCATCTTGGATTTTTGCAAAAGACTGGGAGGACAAGGAATAAAATATGAAGGGAGGAAGAGGTAAAAATGGAAGGCAAAGTTCCCTTCCTATGTCACATCCCTTGGTTAGTCAGCTTTTTCTGTAAAAGCCACCACTTCCAGTCTGTTACTGACCCAGCAGGATTTACCTGTGACAGCAGCCCATCCTACACAGGGTTTCTGTATGTGACAGAAGTGCTCCTCAGTGCCATTAGCTGAATCTCTCATTGCAGCATTGTTTGGTGCTGTAAAAACTAAGTTGCTGTATCACCTCTTTCTAACAGAAATCCTTAGAAACTGAAAGGCAGGTTGGGAAAATCAGCAAATTCAGCATTTCAGGAAGGGAAAGAGTAGTCTGGATTGAGACTGCCACCTTACTTTCGGCATCTGATTTGGGTATTGCAATCCTGATTCAGACCTTTTGGAGGACACACCTCATGTCTAATGTTTCCCAATAGGTTGGCATGATGCAGCTGTCTCTTCACCTGAGACTCCTAAGACAGGAAAAGTGAAAAAGCACTTGTAGTCTCATGAGTGTTTTCTGCAAAAAAGGGTATGGGGGTCCCACTGTACCATGGGAGGGGTGCTGTTTTTCATACACGGAAGTCTTTCCTGGTCTGGCAAAAGGCCAGTGACAAAATCCTTAACAGATCAATTGGAGCAAGAACAGAATACTGCTTTGGACTAATTTTCCTTGTTTTGTTTTGTTTTGTTTTTCCTCTTCTTTTCTTTCTTCCAGAAAAGAGAATAAAATTCCCTAACCAACATACAACGGGAGTTTGGCTAACCAAGTTTGAAGCAGGTTCTTTGGGCTTTTTTACTCTCACATTCCTTTTGCTCAGAAGAAACCAAAACCCAAAGACCTCTTGGAAGAACTCCATGTGTCTGATTCTGCATTTAAGTGGAAAAATGGAACTTCCCAAATAATCTTGCCTTTCTGGAAGTGAAGTTCAGGCTCTAAGAAATGATTAGTAAAAGACTCATTCAGCACTACTCATACTCATTTGGGTAACAGGCAAGTTTCTGCCTGTGCTCACTTCTGGTATTCATAATGAATGTGTATTAGTGACTTCCTAAGCAGTAATTCCAGCAGAACAGAAAATGAAGTATTGTCTCCTGCTTTAATATTTTCCCTGTTGCTTTAGCATTGTTTATATACCGTCATCAGTATGCTGATATATTAACTGGATACCAGTACATGGTATATGCATATTTTATTATCCATTGCTTTAGTTATCTGTCCAGACTCCTGATCCTAAAATTATTAAGCTAAATTTTAGATGATTTTGCTGTTGAAGCGCAGTGGTTTTGAATTGGTTGGTTGGTTTGTTTGTTTTTATGACCACTTTAAAGGTTTTCCAGTAAAGATGAGGGTTTGTTTGTACTAAATTTACGCCTGCTTGTTCAAAATAGCTTGCTTGTGTTTTATAATGTTGATTTTTCAGAGATCTATTAGAAAAACACAAGGCTAGAAAGCACTTCTGCAGGATGCAGGGTGCTTCAGTTATACTTCGTGTTAGACATGACACAGATCATTCAGATCATTCAGCATTTTGCTAAAATGAAACAAATGGAATGGAAAATGCTTTGGTATTAAAAGCAGTGTGTCTTTCAAGAAATGTTTAATACTAAACAGATCATTCAAATAGAGTGTAATAAAGACTACTGCAGCTAATGAAAAGATTTTGTTCAACTCAGTGGGTTCTCAAACAGGCAGAGATAATACGCTTGCCCATCGTAAAAGTGCTCACTTAGCTGTGTTTCCTTTCCTAGACTGGAAATTAGATTTCCTTCTCCATTGTTGATACAGTAAAACTCAAACTATTCAAGAAGATCATGCAGGAGCCACTCTTTTTAGAAGAAAGAACTGCATTTGAATAAAAGATACCTCCCAACTTCATTTTCAGCCACTTAGCAGTAGCCAAAATAAGCATCCTTACCACGTTTTTGAGCTGAAGCCCTACAACAGGCTGTATGTGTCCCCTGCACACACCCCATGCTGCAAGGAGGGAGTGTACAAGAGCCTGCATCAATAAACAGCAAGCCAGTTCCTATGCCAGCTCACATGTGTGTGTGTGTATGTATTCCCACTGGGGTGTACATGCATTAAGTCACCCAGATTTATACACCTAAGGTTAGAAATATCTACCTTTTCCTTTTTCCTATGCTTCATTCCCAGCTTATTCCAAATCCTGTCCCCAGACTTAACACATTTCCTTCTTGCCTACTTTGAAGGCTTTGGACCTGAGTTGAGCAGGCTCCCAACACCTTCAGCTGTTTCTAAACCACACTTCAATTGGTAGATCTTTATGTAGAGGGCACTTTGAAAGATGCATGAGTGTTGATTTCCAAGGCTGTTCCATGAGGATCAAGACTCAGAAAAAGTAAGCAGAGGCTCAAGAGCAAATTGGTCAGAGGCACAGTCACCCAGGTATCAGGGATGTGGATGACATTTAGGGATCTGGCTTTTTACTTGCACCACAGCATAATTTGATCCTTGTTTGTTTTTGTCTCTTGTTCTTTCTTTTCCTTACTTCTTCACCTTTAGAATTAAAAGGTCCAAGGTAATTTATGCTCCAGATTTATTTTCTTGGCCTGAAACTGGCAGTGAATGCTGTAGGTTTTTCTTAAGATAAACTTTCTCTAAACCTTTTTCTAAAAGTGCCACACACAGAGCTTCTCCAGGAGTATGGAGCAGGGAGAAAAAAACTCTATTAGTGACCCTTTTGCTATGTACCCTTTCCTTAAAATGCCAGCGACTGAGCTTCCACAGAGAAGCTCAATATTCAACAAATATTGAAAGAGAAATGTGAAGGACATTATGAAACAAGAAAGTAAGAAAAGGGATATGCTCGGACAAGTTTCTCAGGAAAGGTGATGTAATATGTACTGTAGAAAATCCTAGCGGTTGACATAACAAAGTTTCTTTCTAAATAGCTGTGGATGCCAGCAAGCTGGGAGAAACAGAGTGTATAGCTGGGAATACAGCTGAGCAGACTGTTTTGTCAAAAAGAAATATAGTAGGTGTAAAACTTCTTTTCAGAAGATGTCATTGAAGTTTAATTGAAAAGTGTCCTTTTAATTAAGGCTGAGTGACCACTGAATGAAAGTCTCATTTCTGTTGAGGCTGTTCTTGGTGATACTCTAAGATTAACCCATGAAGGCTGGCAGTACTCAAGAGGCTGTTCTTGGGATGCCACAGTACACAGTTCTGTAGGAAGTGCTCAGTCCCGTTCACTTTTGCTGATGTTTATCAAGCTTTTTATCAGCTGTCTTGAGAATTGCCCAAGTTTTTATTGACTGACTTGCTCATGTTTCAGCCTGGCTTTCTGTATAAATGACTGTTCTCAACATATGTGTTCTGTGTGTTTCCACATCTGCGTACATAGAATTTGGGAACCTTCCTCTTTGTTGTAACAGACCTGACAGAGAAACACAGGGTCTTTAAGATAATGAAAATATTAGAATTTTGTGGCAGCACATGGCTGGCTATTGGAGAACATCTAGATCTTCTCTGCAGGGGAAAGGCTGCAGGGAACTATGCTCTGTGTCAGCCTTGGAGACTCGAAAAGGCCCAGATGTGGAGTACATCAGGTGTTCTTTTTCCACTTCTCACACAGCTTACAATTTTAAGGTCTTGGTTGCAAACTGAAAATCACTTAAAAATCACTGGTTGCTCTACTCTCCTGGTAATTATAGAGCAAAATACTGCATGTGCAGAGACTGATACACACAGTATCATTAGGACTGCCATTTTCAGGTAGGTTAGTTCATAAAAGTTGGATAAACTGCCGAACAAGAAGTCCCAGCTTATGAACTATTGTGGATTTATTCATCATTACAAACAGCAGAACTGTATATATATCTATTATGAAAATTATATTTAGTTATAGGGCTGACATACAGAGTCTATTACCTGCTTTTTACAAATACTGTTAGCGCCATTAAGGCAGCCAGCAGGTATGGTTTCATGCAAAAGATTGTATGGTTATTTTCATAAGGTTTTTATGAATAAGGCTTGAGAAGCCTACAGGAGATCCTTCATGTTTTTGATGGCACTGCTGTCATGTCAAAATATCATGTACCAACTTCTCTCTTTACTACAAATTGGTTATAAGGAAAACTAAGGCAAAAGGACTGATAGTGCTAGATGTCTTAAAACGGGAGGCTGAGTGACCATGTTGAATCCTTAGGAATGTTTGAATATTCTTCCCGTCTCTTGCATTTGCCCTTTTGTTTTAGGTGGAATCTGGATAAGAGCTGTCAGGAGGGCTTTTTAGCCAGTTTGAGGCTGAGTGATAGCAATCTTGAACCACGGTTTTGGAGGAGTGGCAGCAAAAGGCCTGTTGTTAATGCTGACTGCTGTACGGGACAAGTAGCACTCCCTGCGTCCTCAGCTGCCTGAAAATCAAGCCATAGATACTGACCTTCAATTCAAATAAGGTAAGTCAAGCCTGCATCAAGCATGAGTTTAAAATATGGTTATCAGCCTATCATACAACTGTTTGAAATGAAGCCAGGGAAAAAAAATCACTAGAGCACAATGATGTGCAGAGGTCACTAGTATTGCCAGATGTCTCCCTGTTGTGCTAAAATTACAGTAAATGATGCTTTGTTAGTACACCCTAGTGCTGTGCTGAAGTTGGGCTGAATTTCAAGAGCTTCCTAAGATACAGCAGTGCTGAGGCTGGAAAACTGCAATAGATCCACTGGAAAAGTCCTGCCAACTGCAAAAAACAGACGTTTTTCTTGGCCATGACAAAGGTTCCATATTTCTTTTTGCAGCTTCAAATTATTTCCTAAAATGTCAAGTGCAGCAGACATCTAAGCTGACTCATTACTTAGAAGAATAAGTGGGTTTGCTCAGTCTACCTTTTTCTTTACTGACGTGAAAACCGGAATGATCACACTTGTTACCGATCCAAGTACCAACTCAATTTTCCTAAAGACACAGTCTCCAGAAAGGTTACTGTGTACCTAAGAGACCTTTCAAAAGCAACCTTTAAAAAAAAGCAAACCCAAACCCATCAGTTCATCTGGGATATAGTATCCCTAAAGTATCTCTTAAGCTTACTGTATCCCTAAAGACAAACCATTCAAAAGCCTCAATTTGGGTTTTCCTTGTCGTTTGCAGGGCTCAATTTAACAGAAAGTTTCCCCCAGCTAAGACTTGATGGCAATAGTGATGGGGTATGAGGAGCAGAGAAGCTGGCTGCTCTCATTTGGCATAGAGACGAAATCCAGGCTCCAGTCTTTAGGCCAACACTTGATAAAACTCTCATGCCACACTAGCATATGAAGCCCTTTTCCTTTCCCACATAACTCACATACATACTGTTGTTTCCCTATAAAAGTCCATTTGTGGCTTTAAAGGCTTGTGTCAGATATGAAACAATATAAATATTTCATGATTTCTTGTGTTTATTCTTTTGACATTTGAGCATAGTTGCTGAAAGTGTGAGAACAGTTGCTGCTCCTGTTTGAATTTCTTCACCTCTCCACTCCTCAACCAGATGACATTTTAAGCTTTAAATTGTATGGCAGGGAGTACGTTAAACATCAGGTCTGAGAGAAATGGGAAACAACATGATGGGACTGCAGCTTTAGGTGCTGCAAACAGCCCAAATTTCCATATTAAAAATAGAACACTTTTTTGGTTTAAAGTGCAAACAGTCCCTCAAAATACTACATGAGATCCGTTTTCTGGGTGATGGAATGTATGCCTGCCAGATTTGCTTCCTACGAGGTTATTAACACTTGCTGCACCTATAACTGCTGGTTATTGAAGGAAGGACATAACTCCCTCCCAGAATCCTGGGACTAATCAAAACATTGCCCTTAACATTTAATGAGAACGTTGTTGCTTTCATCAATAAACTGGCTTAGACTCTTAGCCCCCTAAAGCACAAATAGCACATGATGGATCATAGTTAACAAGTAGATTTTGGAAAAAAGCACAGTCAGAGGAGTGCAGCTTGTTGCATAAGCTCAAAATGACTGGCTGGTTTCTTCTTACTTTCTCCATCAGTACTGGATATTATGTATGCTAACTAGTATTCATCTCTCAGCAAAGTATCCAGACCTTGTAGGGCCAGTTCTTTCTTCCAGTAAGACCTCTGTGTCATAAAGCAACCCAGACAAAACATGCCAAAGGGAAAATCCCATGCTTATAGGAACTTCCAAGTCTTTTCAACCATTTTCTCCCTTAGCTGCTTGTCTTGGGTGGAGGGGAATGGCCTGTTAGAAAGGAATGGCCAACATAAATGGGAAAGAACAGATAAGACACTTGAGGGTGTGTCTGATGGATTCAGATATCCAGGACAGGAAATGAAGTATTGCCCCTCATCTGTGCCAGACTTGAGCAGACAAACCAAACTGGTAAATTTTAGCTGTGTCAACCAGTTCTGCCATTTTGGAGACTGGTTTACCCTAATGAGGCATCACATGTGGAGAGTAACATTTTGTATACTCTGGGTCCTCATTACTAAATTTAAAAAAAATTAAAGAAAACTATCACAAACAGTTTCACAATGCAATTACAGGGAGAACAGTAAGAACAGTGAATAGTGACTTTTATTGCAAATGCTTCATTTAACAAAGAGTAAATATGCATCTAAACACTCAATTTGAGATGCATTCCTAATCTGACTTTGTCCCTGCTTACAGTGGTATAAATCAAGAATTATTTTACTGAAGTCAGCAAAGTCATTACCTGGTCTTAAACTCAAAAGAGAAAGAATCTTGTTTTTTACTTCTACGGCAAATTCCATTCAATTCAGTATGAATACAACAGTATATTTAAGAACAGAGACAACTGAAAAATCCATGTCCTAAATTCAGTAAAGGGTTATGGAAGTGAATTTCCATCTGAGCACTCTTGAACACTGAAACATCAAACCTCCTTTTCCTGTGGGGTAATCTAGTTTCTTTTCCCCAGAAAATAATTTTTCCTTTTTGTAAACAGAAACCACATCAAACACGTGGTTATCTTCTGAGCAAAAATCTCAAAGACCAAGGTTTACACATATTAAAAAACCTTTAACCCACAAACTTCTGTTTTAAAGTTAAACACAGGTTTTTAGTCTATCAGCATTTTTATTCCATGCCGGTTTTTTGCATAGAGGAAAATATGCACCCTTCGGAGAATAACAACTATGATAAGTTGTTAAAAACTAAATTATCCAGGAAGGTAATTTTTCCCATTATGAAAGTGGCTTGTCAGATATTAGTGAAATGAATTAGTCACTTAGCACACCTTTCACAACCTCTAAAAATTAGATTGTGGCCTATACGTTCCCATGAGTAACGGGAGACAGCAGTTCTCCTCTTTGTATATACAGTAGTATCACTCCACAGTTTCTGATTATGTTTTATTCACATGGAAGCATAAATCAATCATAAATCAGTCCAAAGACTAAAACTAGCCAAACCAGTTCATATTTCTCATATGAGCTATTCTATTTGCATGCCTTTCCAGATTAAACATTTCTTGCTGTGATATAAAAAGATTCCAGCTACATGGTATTCAATGTAAAAAAGTGACAGCATGACATTTAGAAGATGTATGCATGAGGAAAAAAGGGAAAGTGGGAAAATAACAGGAAAAGAAAGGAACATTTCTTATGACCATCTCAGTAGTGGAAAGTAAATTGAGCAATACCTACCTGATTTTTCCCATGATTTATCCCTCTGCTTTCTGGAACTATTCAGAGTAGAGGAGGTGCAAGCATGATCTCATCATTGTATGTCAATGGGTGAAGAAGATGGAGCCAGGTTCTGTCCAGGGATGGGAGCAGAGGTGATGGGCACAAGCTGAAACACAGGACGTGCAGTCTGAACATCGGAAAATGATTTTTCTCTGAGAGGTTGACAAGGAGCTGGCACAGGTTTCCCAGAGAGGTTGTGGAGTCTTCATCCCTGGAGATACTCAAAAGCTGTCTGGACATCATCCTAGACAGCCATCTGTAGGCAACCACATTTGAGCAGGGATACTGGACAAAGTGACCTCCAGAGATCCCTTCTGACCTCAGCCCGGCTGTGATACTGTCATGCTGCTTTGGTCCCTTGTCAGTGAGAAAGGGAGGCAGCTCATTTTCTTGGTTGGCTCCCTTCAGTCAGGAGCAGCAAATTTCAGAAATGCAAAGGGTGCTCCAGCAGCCCGGAGATCTGGAAGAGACTCCAATAAGCACATAGAGTTTGCAGTGGGAAGGAGTGAAATGCTTGTAGGGTCAGGATAGGAAATTTCACATCTGGCAAATTAATAGAAACCAAGCAGGAGAGCAAGAATTATGTATCACTTCCACTTCAGTCACTGTTGAGAAATATTCCCATCCTTTTTGTTTCAGAGAGGGAACTGTGATGTAACTAATAAATATACATCAAGTGTCACCTCATGACTCCAGCTTTGTGCCAGGGGCTTTGGGAGCACTGGAGGAATGCTGAGAACTACTGTGAAAGGACTTGTCATATACAAAAGCAAAGCAGAGAAATCTGGATGCCTGAATTTTATGACATTTAATTTCAGTGCTGACAACTGAGACCTTGGTAGTTTCTGGAATATAATCACATTTCCCAGACTGATTTACCATATCATTCTCCTGCACAGAATTAAGCTAAGCACATCAAGGAGTGCTTAGGTCCAGGAGCTTTAATAGTGCCAGTTGCTGGTGCTGCAACACTTAGCTCTGGCCCTAGGCAAGAATGCCAGACTTTGGAGCTGCATTGAGTTCACGCTGTTCACACAGTTAAAAGGGTCACACACCTCCTCCCTCTCCTGTGACCAGCTTGTCTTCTTGAAAGCCAGCTCTCCTACATGTGAAAAAATATCTGAAATGGACTTAATGCAGTGTAGGGCAGCTGAAAAAGTTAAAAGGCAAGTTTAGTGCCAGGTTAAATGCTGGATCGTTTTCTTGGATCATCACCTTTCTGGTACAGCTTCCCATGAGCATGGTAAGACAAGGAAGCTATTTCTTTTTCTGCCTTAAATGAACATTGCAAAAGGACAGCACCGAGGAGGCTGAAACTTTCAAAACCATGAACTTTATAATGCTGAATTCAAGGAAAAATGCAGCATTTTCAAATCATACCTGGCACATTAAGGTAACTCTGACAAGCAAGATACAGAGATGCAAATGCATCTTTAATGTAGAAGTAGCAAGTTTTTGTCTGAAAATACAGCATCTTGGCAAGTTACAAAGAAGGCATTTTTTTCATGCTCTGCAGTAGACAACACTATTATCAAATAGAGTGGTGCTGTTGGAGATGGAGGAGGAGCTCTTTTCACATCTTTCTCTAGATTAATTCTGCTTCTAGTAAATACGAGTGCCTGCTGAAAAGCTTTGTGCCAAAGTTCCTGGGTTTCTTTAACTGGGAGCTCAGAGGAGCACTGCTGGGGTTAACATACTGTTTTTCTCAAGCATATACCAGTGTATTGCAGAAGGCACAATGCAGATAGTGTTCACAGAGTTTATAATTTCCTGTTGGAAAAGCAAAGAAAAGAAGGTCATCAATTTAAACCAGAGAATACAAATTATTTCCTGCCCACAAAGCTGCCAAATGCTTGGAGTTATTGATTTTTTTTTCCTCCCTGCTGCTCACCAAACACTTCTGGTCCTGTCATGGGCATCATCAGCTTATTGACTAAGTAAACATAACCCATTAAGGTGAACATTTTAAAAATAATAGAAAATTATAGTGGCTTTAGTAAAAAGAGGAGAGGAGAGGAGAGGAGAGGAGAGGAGAGGAGAAACAGTTCCTGAAGTTAATTAACTTTTGTGTAGATTCAAATTTCTGCAATATAGGTTTGCATCCAAATGAGAGAGCAAGGAATAAAATAAGACTAGGGAAAAAAAACCCATAAGTCGTTTCCTAAAGAAGCCAAGAAGAGGAGGGTGCAGAGAAGCAGTTACTTCATATTTTAAGACTCCAAGTAAAAGAAAAAAATACTGCAAAACTGAGATTGAAAGGATAAAACCATGTGGCAGCAGCATGATGGAGGCATGCTTTTATTTATTTATTTATTTACTAGCAGCAGGAGGTCTATGCTATTGTCTGATTCTTTTTTTTTTAAAGTCGGGTCTGAGCACAGCTGATGCCTGGCCTTGGAACCTGTCAGTTTGAAAATAACATGTACAGTATTAATAAATGTAGAACAAGACTTGCTGTCAAGTTGGTTACAAGGCAGTAGTTCACTGAAGGGGACCTGACAATGTCAAAAAGCATTAGACCAGAGCCAGCAAATGTTTTCTACTCTACAGCTGAACCCAAAAGATTGATTGATGCCCTGAATCTGCCTGTAAGGCATCTGTCTGCTCTGGAGAGTGTGTATTTATCTGAAGGAGCAGGGAACAAGTTGCTTTTTCCTCCTCCTCCAGCCATCTGCCTACACGAGGGAGGAAAGGACCAAGACAGAAGAGAACAAATTCTAGTGTGCTGTAGATGGACAGGGATATCTTACATACAAAATGGTCTTTAAAAGTAGGAGAACACACTCAGGAGAGGTGTTTACAGGCAACAGCAGGGAGACAATTACCAGGCTGAGACACTGCAGAGAGGGCTGGCTTTCCCCTGGGACCTGCTGTTGCAGGTGGCTTCCCTGGCCAAGAGCCTTGCAGTCCTTTGGTGTGAGAGTCAGCAGTGAGAGAAGAGCCAGTGGGAAGAGACACCAGGAGGGAAGTAAACAAGCAGATTACAAAGTGATGATAAATGAGGGTATCGGTCTTCTACAGTGGCTTAGAGGAAGGTGTGACCTCTTCCTCCACCCCCTCACCTTCATGCCTGTTGACTGAATACTATTAAGCCAGGTAGATTATTAATGACCTGTTAACAGCTTCTTTAATTTTCTAATAAGTACCAACTGCAGCTGCTATAATTATGCTGCTGGTCCCACAACATGCCCTATGCCAGACTGCAAAATCTTTTTTTTTTTTTTTTTTTTTTTTGGTCTGGAACACATTGTCGTGCTTTTAACATGTGTGTACTGCACATGGGCAATTGCATGCCTGAGTAAAATTACATCTTAGGCTGTCAGAGCACTTTGCAGCCATTAAATATCAGTATCTTCCAGCAAAGTAGAAAGTAGGAACCAGGAAGTGTTTAGAAACCTATTTTTGCATGTGTGAATTGAGACACCCAAATTTTATAGTTTCAGCCACAGTGATACAGTGAGTCAGTCCCTAGGATGCTTGTGAAACCTGAGAGCTCTGTCTTCTGCTTTGTTTGTGCTGGTATCATACAAAGTGGAAAAGTCATGGATAGGCTGGAGGTAACTGTAAGCAGGGGCTTTTTCTATGTAAACAGAGTCCCTAGGAGCAACATTATACAAAAGCAATGGTATGCATTATTCTTCCTAATTCCCACCACCACAGAACTGAGTAGCATGTATGGGAAAAAAACCATAAACAGAAATGGATCACAGCCCACCTGTGTTTCTCACATATGCTACATTTGTCAAATTTCATTGCATTGAGCCCTCTGTAATCTAGTGTTTAGTCAACAAACCTCACAAACTAGTACTGGAAGATTACCATTTTCTGAGGAAATAGTATGTTGTTAGCAGCCCTGTTTGAAAGCTACTAGTGAGAATGTGCCTTGAAAATGCTATAAAGCAGATGCTGAATTTTCAAAGATCTTTTTGAAGACAATGATCCTGTAAAAGTATCATCTATTCAGCACACATAAAGCACACAACATTTTGAAAAGTCTCACCCATCAACAGTACATAAAGGTGTAGTCTGTGCTTTTGTCCAGCTCTTGGACTATCATGCTTCTTTGCTGGACAAACTCTTGTGCTGTAGCCCCATAAAGGAAAGCTTGTCCCCATATCTCCAAAGGTGTGTTTGTGTTTGGAAACAGCCCTGGAATTGTGCTGCATCTGTCTAGACTGGCATGTTTTAGCCTAAGAGAGGGAATGGGCAGGCCACAGGAAACAGCCCAGGTTTCTAGGAGTGAAGTGCCTGACCTGGTACCTGCTTCCTGTGAAGTTGTTCTGTGTTTTTCTTCCACAGTTCTGCAAAATGAAAAAAAAAAAAAATCCCTGCCTTCCCTAACAGGAACTATTGAAGGACTGAAGATTTAGTGAATCACATTCAAAGTATTAAACAGATAAACATTTATTCCTTAGTCTTTCCCACACATATTCTGAGGAGGGAAATATGGATTGCAGTCAGCTGTTCTCTGAAATTCCTGTTGTCCTGACTCATAGTTGGAAGGGAATCTGATTCACGTCCAACTATCTTGCGAGCATCCAGCATAACTTTTCCTTTTTCCAAGGGTGGATGAATAAATCAGTAGCTACTCCTCAGATGAAGTTAAAGGTCTGACTCCAGATGCTGCATGTGCACTGTGGCAGGTTCCATCACTTCCTTTGCCCTTTTGCACTCTCCATCTTGCACAGCTCTGTGCACAAATTAACAAGCTGGATCTGTCTGAACAGAAAGCTTCAAGTACCATGGGAACTTCTTTTCTTTCTTTTATTTTTAATGGTTCCCCTTATAATTGTTTTTTTCCTTTTTTTTTTTTCTTCCTAATAGAATGTTTCTAGGTCAGAATCCCAGTTGGTCTTGTGCTGATTTTGGTCCCCAATGCTTATTAAAAATCACGAGTCTTTGAGGTTAGCTCTTCCCCAGATCCTAATTTGTGTTAACAAATTTAGCTCATACTGAACCAGTTCTGCTCATATGGGCAAGGACCAACTTCTGGAACCGATCCAGATGTCCAAGATGTTCAAAAGTAATTAGTTTTCTTGAAAGTCTTGGGCTGTAAGTGTTGATCTGATATATTTAAAAGGGACAGGACTTTCAGGAGGGTAGAGTCCGTCTTTTCTGAAGGAGGGGCCCTTCTGTGAGGGTATAAAAAAAGAGCATTTGAAATAAACTTACCCCATGTGAGAGGAATTAGGGTCACATTTTTTTAGTTTTGGTTTTCAGTAGGAAGTAAGAATAGGAGCAGGGTGTTTGTTAAGTGCCAAAAGTATGTCCTGCTGTAATACTATATAATAAAAAGCATTAGATCAGCAAGGTGTTTGGGCACAGGACTGCAGACCTTCCCAGCACCACTGATATTTTTAAAAGCTTTGTAAATCAGACTCTGTGCTGACCACAGCAGAGCAGACCACATCTTTTACCCCCCCATTTCCAGAGGCAGACAAGGGAGAAAGCATCATAAGATTTACACTATGCTCCTGACTTTTTCCCTGTGACTGCCATCCTCTGGCATTCAGTTCCTTTAGGTCACTGTCTACTGCATGCCTTTTTAATGCATGCATGTGGATGATATTATTGAAGTCAGAAAGACTACAGACAAGCATAAGCCTTATCTGATTATATGATAGGAGTTAGAGACAGTAAACTTCCAGGTCAGTACTGATTTTTAACATAGCCACATAGAGTTCCTAGCCCAATGATGTATGCAGTACTTCTGTGAACTTCTGAGACCATTTTCTTTTCCTTTTTTACAAGGTAAAATGTAACCTGTTAGCCAAGAAATTTATCACAGATTCCTGGTGGGTTTTGATTCTTTCACACATCTCAGGATTTTGTAAGTTGACTTAAAGCTAGATTGGATATTGGTTTTGGCTTTGAGATTTTGTCAGTGTCTTCAGCATAATGAGTGCATTGGACTTAGATAAATACCCACAAACTACCAAGAAAGATAAGTAGTTAGAAAGAATTGCAAACTCTTTCCATGAGAAAAGATTTTGTACTCTTCCCTGCTCCTTCACCTTGCAGGTTCAGTGAACCTATTCTAGACAATTGTATATGGGAAACACACATCACACTGTGAAAACCTCACTGTCTTCACAGTCCTTTTCTGCTAAGTGCAGAATGCTATTCCCTCTTCTCATGACAGCACGAGACAGTCAAAGGACTCTATTTGTTTCTTTATACGATTCTTTTGTTTTAATGTGCCCATTTGGAAGCTGGCCTGTGTTGCAGGCTGTGGGGAGGTGCAGGGACAGCATAGAGGAATTCTTTTGAACCTTGGATTGCAGCACTCATGACCTCACTCCCAGAAGCAAGGAAGCCAAGAAGCTGTGCCACAGCTTTCTCAGATAAACCACTCGCTGTTAAATCCATAAACACCACTGATTTTTTTTCTTGCACCTTGGATGCAGCTTTTTCATGTACCCTACTTATGAATTCTTACTCTTAAATCCTTTGCAATTCATCTCTAAAATGCAAAAGATGAACATTCACGCCTTCTTCCCCCCTTCATGGTGTCCAATTACAGAAACATACAATTAGGGATGTTAATGACAGATTATTAGGCATTAACCTATAATGCCATCCTCCAATAGCAGCAGAAATGGGTCACACTGTAGGTATAATTATCCTGGTTCTCTAATAATACGCCCTGGTCGTGCCCTGTTTTTGCGATATATCCCTTGTATTTCAGTACAAAGGACGGGCAGCTCTAGTTGTGTTAGAGAGAGATCTGGAGCAGCCTGTTGAGCTGCTGGCACATGGGCCTGGCCTTCAAAGAGACTGAGCAAACTAGGCTGTAGCATCTTTCCAACTAAGAGAATACCAATAAAGGATTTTGGCACCTGCCTTTGTTACATGCAGTTAGGAAGACAGGCTCTATTTACAGAGGGATAAACCTAGGGACAGCAGAAGACAGCAGGACTCCTTGGACAATAGGAGTGGTGGCCCCACTGCTTCTGTCTGCTCAGCATCAGGGTGGTGGGTGCAATATTTTCAGGGAAGAGTGCACAGAGAGGGGTGAAGGTTGGTGGGTAGGAGGAAGAGAAATGCAGTGCAGGTGAGCCCACCGGATGAAATGGTGCAGCTTAAGAGCACAAAGGGAAGTTGTGACAGCAGAACAGAAATTCTACTCTGTAAATAGAATAGAAACATGAAAATAAGAGTGCCCAGGAGAGAAGGAAAATGAAATGAAACTAAGATATTTGAAGGCACCATTCAAGTTTTATGCTAACTGAGAAGGCCAACTGCTTTGTAGCGTGTGTTGCAAAAGTGATACAAGAGTGAGGTGGCTGTTTAGAGTCCTTAATCACTTTATTGACTACTTTCTCTTCCCTTGTTAATTAGCTAGTATCAAAGGCAGAAAATGAACTTAATACTGTTTCTTGGCTTTCTTGCCAGTAGTCTTTCTCATATGTAGAGTGGTGTTAAAAAGCATTAAAGCATTAAAGCATTCTCACCAAGGCCAGCTACACAAATCTAGGAACTGATCCACAAGGAGGTGCTGGAAGGGACTATTTCAAAGCTGTCTAAAAAGAGGTTTTACCTCCGTAAAAGCCAGAATATGTTCTTTCAGTGCGTCTGAAGAACAACTGAGGGGGGAAAAAGAAGAAAAAAGTATTAATCCTACTTTTGGTTTGACTGTGAATTAAGAAAACTTTACTACAAGTCTTTGAAGTCTTGGTGAAGGCATTCTATACATGCAAAGTTTTTGATGTTTCTGAACATGCTGGCAGGGTCAAAAGTTTGTGCTGTTACCTCTCATAAATGAGGTAAATAATGTGTTGAGGCTTTTTCCATGAAAAAGGGGGAAAATAATATGCTGAGATCCTGTCAGAAGACTTCTGCTGTACTGTTCTGGTTTTGATGAGAGTACTGATGATGAAGGGATGTTGTAGACAGTGAGTGTCAAAAAGATGTGTCTAAAATGTTGTCCTAGCATGTTATTAGTATAGAAATTGGCTTGCACCCAGATGCCTGCCTTATGGATCTTAGAACATCAATGGATGGGCAAGAAAGCAAGAATGTGAAATACAAGTGTGTGCTCATGTGTGGTTTGCCTGACATTCTCCTCATCTCCTTATAAGACTTCCTGGGTGGTTTGCTGAAAAGCTGTGCCTAGGGCCAATTATAAACCCACCAGCCCAAGGGAGAGTTCCATTGCAGAAGGGTCAGCAGCAATTTCAGCCTTTAAGTTAGATGCTCAGGTCTATGTTCAGGTCTATTGATATAATTTAATTTAATTTAATTTAATAGTAGTCTTTTGCTGCACCTATTTAGTGTGTCATTCCAACACCTCAGTGGTTCAAGGTGGTTTAAAGGCTCCCAGTTGTTTGCATTGGTGGCCTGGCACTATATTGTCCTGGCCAGGTGGGTAGGCAGATTGAGATAGGCAGCAGGGATCACACCGAGTTTGCATTGATCAAGTTGCTTCTCTCTTGTTTCAGAGCAGTATTATTGTTTGCTGTTTGGTCTGTGGTAGCACCCAGAGGCTGGAGATGCTGGTGGAGTTTGGTTGCACCAGGAGGAGGAGAAGGACAAGGAGAAGCAGGAGGAAATGCTTTCCCCATAGAACCTACAGCCCCAGCTCCCTTGCTCAGTTCCAGGGAAAATAAAATTAATGTTTAGCTTGGTGAAAATGCCCTTCTTCTCCAATACCTACCTTTGGTAGAGGTGCCCAGCACCAACCTCTGCCACACAAATTTCAGAAACAAAACAGAAAACCCAAATTTGCCAAAATAAGGGAGACTCTCTTAAGCCAGCCTATTTTTATAAGATCCTCTGTGGAGAAAACAAAGTCTAATTAAAAACAGCCTTTACTGTTGCAGTAACCCACCATTTCACATGTGACTCTGGGAGTTTGTTAAATCTTGTTAACAGCCTGAGTCCCACTTAGCTTCAAAGTCAAGCCTTCTTTTCCATATCCTACCATTTTCAAGGCACAAAGTGAATGTCAGCATTATTAGGGTATTCTGCTTTTTAACAGTTATTTTTTGAGAGCACTGCCTATAACGATTCAAGGTCTCTTCCTTTGGTAACTGTGGGTTCAGTGTTTTTGTGCCTGCTAATCTCCACTTAATCTTTCTAACCACTGCAAATAGCATGGAGGGAAAGACACCTTTGCGGAACAGCATAGCTTGGAAATTGTGGTTTTTTTCATTACCAGCTGTGGAAAAGTCTTTTCCACCAATTGACTTGCCTACTCTTTTAGTGATACAACAGGTTCTCAGGAGAGATCACCACGGACAGCAGCATGAACTTCCTCCTTATGAGGCAATTGCATGTTGTATCTATAAAATTCTCTCAAATACTTACAGTTTGTGGCAAATGAAGTGGAGGGATTTTGGTCCTTCCTGGTGAGAGCCTCTACAGTTCGCAAGCTGTATGTCATGTTCACAAAGGCTCAGGACAGGAGACACACCTCTGGGCACACCTCTGCTTCCCTTCTTTAGTGAGCCACTCCCATGGCACTTCGGCAGAGCAACCAATGGAGCAGCAAACACCATTGGCCATAGGGCAGAAATCTGATTGACAAGTCCTTGCAGACAACAGATCCTTATTACATTCTGGTCTTCTGCAAACTGTCACCATTCAGAAGTCATTAGCAACTGTTTGCCAAAGGATGCTGAAGACTGCAATATTCCAGCATCCATTCCACAAGAAACCAGGATGTCAGGGAAGGGAAGCAGCAGCCCCTCTGAGAGTGATGGTCTGTGACACTTCTGTTCTTGGTTTTGCTGGCTGGCAGGGAATAGTGGGATCAATGAGAGGGTTTGCAGTCTTGAGAAGCTTGTTAAAAGGCATAGCTCTGAACCTTTTCCCACAATGTGCTGTTGTAGGACTGGCTTGGGAAAACAGCTGAGAAACAAGTGGGACCAGAGCATCAAGGGCTAGACAGGGATGGGGTGGTCCAGCCTACAGGCTTCCAACTGTGACTGCAAATGAACAATGGAGACATTCTACCTGTTACCGTGATGAGGACCTTGGTGCACAACTGGGGTGCACCTCAGCTCTCCACATCTCTGCCTCAGCTGGAGCAGCAGCAGAAGAGAGCTGTGGGCAGGGGGAGCAGCTCAGGAGCAGCCAGGCATGCTGCATGAGGCAGCAGTACTTAATGGGATCACCACTGCTCAGCTGCCAAGATCCCTTGCCAGATGGCACCGTCTCTACACTGCAGCACTGGAGCAGAGGTGTTGAGAGAGTGTGTGTGAGCATGTGACTGATCAGCAATAAGCTTTTCTTACTTTCCCTCCATCTCCCTTGTCTGGGTGTGAGCAGACTGTGAGACTCAACAAACCTCAAACCCACTGACAGTGAGTTGCAGAGCCTCTAATTTCTGCTGTTTACTGGGCAGGCCCCTGAGCCTCAGTCAAAACCTCACTGGTGCAAGAGCTCCCAGTCTTCCCACCCTTACTCAGCAAACTTCCAGCAACACCCCTCACCCCCAGACATTTGCATTCAATTGCCCTGAATTTAATCACATAAAGCAAATTTTGCCTGCTCACAACTTTAAAAGGGGCAAAAACAAATGCCACAGGTCACAAACTGTTATAACTGATCCTCCCTCCAGATTTACCATGGGTTTTTTTTTCCCCGTCCCTGTTATGTGGTGTTGGTGTCACAGCCTCCTCCTGACCAGATATATCTTATAAGAAACTTGGTTATTAATCAAATTTTTTGGGGATTTAAAGAAAGTTGCAAACACAAGCAGGCGAGCAGGAAGTTCTCACTGTCCTTGTGAAATGACTAGCACTGTTTCTCTGTAAAACCACACTTGCACATTTCCTCTGCTGTAACTTCTCATGCTATGCAAGTGCCCCAGGGGAAGCAAGAAGAAAAAACTCATCAGAGAAACAGATCAGGAGTGAGAAAGATGATAGCTGACTATACTAATGGCACAGCTTAGGCATTTTAGGGAATAAAATATGCATAAAATCCACATGCCTCTCTGGGTTGCTAACACTACTAGCCATCCACAAATCTGAAATGATTTCAATAGTAAACTTAAATACTAAGGGTTCTTAAAAATCAAGGAAACTAGTTAACAAGGAAAGCATTCATTCCTAGGAATATCATGCATTACAACTGAGTGCTAGTGCCAACGGGGCAGGAGATGAAATTTATACCTGAGTTGCATTCATAGTTTTGTAGAATTGTAGAATATGCTGAGTTGAAAGGGACCCACAAGGATCATGGAGTCCAATTCCTGTCCCTGCACAGAACACCCCAGGAATCACATCAAGTGCCCAAGAGCATTGTCCATACTATTCTTGGGCTCAGACGGGCTTGGTGCTGTGACTTCTTCCCTGGGCAGTCTGTTTCCCTCAGTTTAAGAGCATGCAAGTGTCAGTGTGAGGCCATGTCAGCAGAGTGGTGAGCAGAGGGAGGCTGTGCATGTCACCCTGACCCGGCCACGATGGGAAGAAGTTCTGACACTTGTCTCTCCACCCTTGCTGAACTGTGGTTGTCAGGTGAGCAATACCTGACTAACACATACCTGAGGGATGCTAGAGCTGGTTTCCACAGCACGGCTCAAACGGCCTTGCCCGGGTCACATTTCTGTAACTGGTTTGGGCCTTGGTTTATTAATCAGCTCTCCATGAGCATAGCACTTAAGCCACAACGTCGTGTGACTAGTACTGGGGTGTGAAGCCTTTGGGATTGGAAGTCCCATACAGCTCCCCCAGTTATTCATATGCCTATGTGCCAGTTGAGAAAGAAAAGCTTTTTGCTATTTTTTTTTAATTGTTGTCAAGACCGTTCCTCCATCCCAGCTCCAAGAGAATCAAGAGCAGAAGCCAATATTCAGATGCTTGTTCAAGTCCCATCTTGCCACAGCCTGAAGCAAAGTGCCACGCCTCCACTGACAACTCAGCTTGACTCCTACTAACCTGCTGTGGGCAGGAGCATTAGCTCAGGCTCTTCAGTCCCCTCTTACCCAAGCTATGGAAGTGTTTGTTATTCTGCTGGGTCATGCATTCAAATGTCAAAATTGTGACTCATTAAAAGGGCAAGTTTGAGCGGGGGGTGGGGGGCACAGGAAGGAAGAAAGACAGCTTGCCAGAGACTTCCTGTTTATCCACAGCTTGGGAAAAAAATTGACACAACAGAATACTCACACTCTGGCTCCATTATCTCTGCTGGCACAGTGCTGGCTTGGCTTTGTCCCTTACTACTCAAGGCCAGATCCGTGTTTACTTTAGACGAGTTTACTCGAGAGAGAAATCCGGCCCCCGGAGCCTGAATGCTCGCAGTGTGTGAGCGAACACACGGGCACCGGGAGCCCCCGCCACAATGCCACGGCACTGGCCCCTGGCCACACCAGGGAGGGCATTTTCTTCTCGGCAATTAGTGAAGTGGTGGCATCACTAAAAGAAGTTGAATAAACACATTCAACCCAGCTGGGTTCCCAGTTTGCTCTGTTCTCACCACTCCTCCCTCTGGGTGCACGGTGGGGCCCCAGCAAGCAAGAGCTCGATGCCTGTGCACTGTGCTTTCATTCAGGCCTGGTTGGAAAGGGCTTTTAGGAAAGAGGAGGAGGGGGAAGTAACCTTTTGGCTTTCTTCTTTTACAGCAACTGTCTTTTTTTCTTTTCAGGGAGGAAAAATGCCAGCTTCTCTAAAAAAACTGCAGCAAATGGCTGTTTTCATGGGACTGTTCAGTGGCACGGGATGTTTTGTGATGTATAATCTTATTCAAAGTAAGTCTTGATGTTGTTAGCAACCTTATTTCTCCTCTGCCCCTTTCACCGGCTTTTGTGTAGTGGTGAAAATAGCAACATGTGAGTTGTGAAAAGCAGATGAAGTTAAGGGAAATGTGGCTGGGCTGCTGAGTTCTGCCTCTGTGGGCTCCACTTTTTTCATCCCCAGGGCTTTTGCTCTCCCAGGTGCTGCTGTGGGCATTTCCAGAGGCACATATTGCATAGGGAGCAGGCTGTTGTGGTCAGAAGAAAGTCTGGTTTTGGGGGGTTTCTTGTGGGTGATGGTGAAGTGAAAGTTTCACCTTCAGTAATGCAGGTTTCATTTCTTAACTGAGATTTTGTAACTGGGCAGTAAAAGAGGACCATCTGTGAGAAGGCATTAAAGTCTAGCAGTTTTATCTGTAAATCTCTGTGTGGCGCTGGCCCTTAAACACAACACACCTGTGAAGTGCTAAGAAATGATGTAGTTTCTCCTGAATGAAGTACAGATAAGAGCAGTCAGCACTGAGAAGACCAGGACAAAGAAAAAAGCTAAACAGGTGATGTTGTTGTTTATAGACATCTAGTTGCTATGTGTCTTTGGCCAAGAATCCACATTATTAGTCCAAATTATAGATGTTTATTTTTTCTAAAGCTGCTTTTAGATATTTAGCATCAGAGCAGAAATAAGCTTTGCCTCTCTCTCAGGAGGTGCCATAGGCCTATTGGCCCTATGCCTCTCCCTTGTTGGTGCTATCAAATGTTATTGCTTTTCACCTACCCTGATACCAGAGGATGCTGCCAGAATAAAGTGTAACTGAGCCTGTTTCTCAGTCCCTCAGATAAGCTCTGAAACCTCCCATTCATTTTACACATATTAATAACAAATCAGACAGGGCTGGAAAGCAGGCTTTAATTTTTGGCAGCTCATGCCCCCAGGCTCTGGAGTACATGACGGAAATATGATCCTTACACTTTAAAATATTGAATCTGACTTTAACAAGGACATTAGCATTTTTTAATTTTCAGCTTCAGCACTGTTATCTAGAAACCTCATGGAGCAGTCAGCCTCTGTGCTACACAGCAAGCCCTAGGGCTGGTTCCCCACATGCCTTGGCTGTGCAGTCAAGTGGCACACTGAAGTGGCTACTTTTGGTTCCCTTGCAATTTCAGTGGCCACTGAGCAGCTGCCTGATAACTCAGCCAGCCTGCTGAAAGAACACTTTCTGCAGCCAAGTCTGTCCTTCTCTATCCTCTAAGCAGACATGGGACCCACATTTAGAACCTTGCTCCTTTGTCTCATGCCTGGGGCTATCCCAGTGCCTTCTGCCCAGTGCACAGAACTGGCCCATACATGGACTAGTGAGGAGTAAGTGGCCTCCATAGTGGTGGGAGAGGATTCCTTCCCTTCCTGCAGGCTGAAGGGAAGTTTGCATGCACGTGGTCTTTGTGCAAGCTTGTACAAATACTCAGGTAATCCTGTTTCTACTTACTTGCATTACCTCCACACCCTTCTCATGGAAGCAGTCTGCTCAGCCAACTCCAGCATGCTTTCTATGCTCTCCTACCAAAAGATGTGGGGACAAATGGATTAGTTGTGCATTAAATGTCTAATGCATGAAGTGCTAACAAGGAACAGCTGAGAAAGAGCACCAGGAAATTAGAATCGATTTCTCCTCCGACCTGCAGGATGAACACAACATACTTTTCACATGGTCTGTGTGGCTGTTGGCCGTGATTTATAGGTGCTAAAGAGCAGGCATGCTGCAACCCCTTTGGTTGGAGCTCCTTAGGATGCGCCAGGGGGACACAGGAGGACCAACACAGGTGACAGCCTAGCAAAGCTGTTTCTATGCCAACTGGATGCTGCCTGCTCACAGGGGATGCCTCTAATTAGGGAGAGGGGGCAGCATCCTTCTGCCTCATGCTCCAAGATTAATACTGACAGGGAAGAGACCAAGAAAAAACTTTACACTTTGTTTTGAACCCTTTGAAAGATGAGGGCAGAGTTGCCAGAGTAGGATTTAACAACTACACACTTGTAGCTAAACTCTACCCTTTTTGATGTCATAAGAGTGAAGTTACACTGGTCTAGAAACCCAGCAAGACAGCTTTAAAACTGTTAATAAGCAAATCTCTGTCTCCATGAGGAGGGTCAGGAAGTCTCCAGCTCCTCAGCTGTGCCCCTGTCCATTGGTGACCATGGTACAGTGTTTCACAGCCATAGAGAGCAACTAGACATTGATAAATAGCAGTTTGCCACAACTGTTCTCCATATGCCAGCACTGTACTATCTATCTACAGTGCTGTTGTGGTTGCTTGACCAGTGACTCAAGTAGTGCTTCTTAGTGCCTTCCTTCTAAGGCATCTGTCAGCAAAGTTGGAGCTGCATGGCTGTCACTTGGCAAGCTGTACCAAGTCCACAGCTAGAGTTCCACTGCAGCAGCTGTTTCCCTCTCAATGTCTGCAAGATATTCTCCATTCTTTAAGTATTTTATGTACCTCCAATAGAAAAAAAATAAAAATAGAATCTTTATCAGAACATTTTGGATATTCATCTTTGTACGTTTTTTTTTTCCTTCCTTTTAGATAACGTACAAATGCATGAAAAGTGGGGAGACAGCCGTAAGCTGAGCTGTTTATCAGAATGGAGCAGGCTATGTTCACAGGCCTTTTCACTTAAATGAGCTGAATAACATTTGTTTCTCTGATGTAAGGGTGTGTTTCCTCCTTTAGCCAATTTTCTCCTAATTAATTTTGGACTGTATTTCAGGGAGGGTGTGGTAGTCTGTTTTTTTTCTAAGGTGGTGTTTTGATTTTAAGTGAAGAGTCCCTTCACTACCCTGCTTCTCTCACCTAGAAAGTTTTGCCAGGACCCAGTATTACCAGCAAGCTTTGGAGCAACTGAACAGCAATCCTGATGCCTTGGAAGCCCTGGGTGCCCCCCCTCTTAAGGTTCACAACATCCGCCTGACAGATGGGAGCAATCGCGTGGACACAGAAAGAGCGCGGGTAACGCTGGGCAGGCGGTGTCACAGGGTGGCTTCCCGGCATGTCAGGTGACAAGAGATCAGCCAGGGGATTTTCAGCGGGTCATGAGTCACCTGGGGGCACTGGAAAGAAGTAGGATGGAATCCCTGCCAGTAGATCTGGAAGAGGAATGGATTTCCAGAGCATAAATCTACTAGCCTAGAAACAGCAAGAGCAGCATTTCCACGTTGTGCTATATGGGCCCATCACAGAATGCTGAGGAACCTCTTGAGACAGTCAGTCCCCCCTCACACTGTAAGCCACAAAGTCATTTTCAGAGACATATCAGATCCAGCTTTAAAATAGCACCTGCCTTCCTTTATCCCCCAGATATGTCCCATGCTAGTTTTTAGAGATTTGTTGAGAGCAGTTTTACAGCCTCTTACGGGCTATGCTGTGGTACAGCATAAATGGTGTTTTAAGACCACCTCTAAGTTTGTGTCATTGAGAACGGCTGCCCAGCCTGAGACTGAGCGTGAGGGTTACTCAGTGACTGGAGGATGCTGTGCTGGGTGCTGAAGTATTGCACAAGGCTGCCTTGTATTAGCCGAGGGCTGTGGCCAGGCAAACCTTGCAAATACAAGTCCACTTCCACTTGGCATTGATGCCTCAAGAGTACTTTCCATCAGTGTTTTTACCCCTTAATCCAGGACTGGCTGCCCTTCCCTTGTTTTGCTAGTAACACTGAGTGCCCCTAGCAACCTCTCCAGGTCCTTCACTGCAGTAACTCATCACATTGGAATAATTTTGTTTTTACTGGTATGTAGTTATGAATGCCAGGGACCAAGCAAGAGCATTAAGGAATGGTACAATTAAGGATGGTACAATGAAGGAGTGTGGCTATCAGGGTAAGATAAAAAGCCCTCAGCCTTTAACCAGCTCACATAAAATTACTTTCCATTTAACTTCAGCCAGGCTGCACTTACCTGATACCCTGGATCAAAACATTTCCTGTGTTTTATAGATTCCACCAGGGAACATATCTAAGGGAAAAAATCATGCAAAACCCCAAACAGTCTCATATATTGCCTGAAAAGAAGGTAGCCTTTCCCACGGGTGTTTTCCTATGTCACTGTTTAAGAATGCTGGTCGCTTGGGTGACTCAGGATGAAGTCAAAACCCTGCCTTCTGACCTCACCCAAGACACAATGACCAACTTTTTTCTCTACTTTTTCATGCTCCTAAGTATTTATGTCCTCATGAAATAAACTGGTTAATCATCATTACACCGTAGGTCGATTTACTGACTTCACAACATTCCCAGCTCCTGGGCCTCTTGGTGAACACCTGGCATTTTCTCTGTGCTTGCATCACCGTCAGTAAATACTACACCTGAAACTTTTATTTTATTCAGACATTAGACCTAGTGCAATTGGCCATGGTTGCTGCTGCAGCTCCAGCTTTGTTTGTTAAACAGATAAGTGATAAAATTTGTGACACTGAAAAAAAAGGATCACTGAACATCTCATTGCCTCAGTGCATATTAAGGGACTGATATTCAGTGGATCTCAACCTACAAGCTTGTAATGGTTATGGGAAGCTCTGACAGTTCAGGTCACCTCTGGATGACCATGCATTCTGGTAAGGAAAGGTGTTTGCTCATAAATATTTCAGAGAGCAAGTGGTTTTCCCTGGGGGTTGCAGCTGTAGCACAGTACATTCTTTTGGCAGAGAGAAATTGATGCATGGCAGAGCAGACATACTTATGTAGCCACACACGTGTTAGCTGTTAGGATAGCTTAATCCAACTCTGAAATACAGTAAAAAAAAAAGATAGTGTTAAAGTTTAAAAAAAGGTACTAGCTCTTTAATTAGAAGGAGTAAATGTCTGTTTCATAATATGATTTGCTGAAACTTTAATGTGCTTTTACATTTGCAGATAAAGTTACCAGTCTCTGGAACAAAATCAGCGGGCTACCTCTACATTAACTCGGAGATGGACCACTCCCGTCAGTGGTGTGTACTGGGGGAGGTATCAGGAGAAATGGGAAAGAAGTGGTAGGAGAAAAGAGTAGAGCAGAATACTTGCTTTAGTCATCTGTGTTGCTGAGGTCATGCACATAAATCAAACAGAAACTCCTGTCTGAAGGTCTTGTGAAAGGTTATTATTTCATTAGGACAAAATGTTAGTTAGTTGAGAAATATTTTGAATCCATCTCTCTGAATAGGAAAAGAAGAGCAACATGAGCCGTTCCTTTGTATTATGTGTGTTCTGCAAACTGTTGCTCTTGCTCACAAATTCTGTGAGCCAAGGTATTGTCCCCTCCCATCCCACCTCCCCACAGAGGTGCAGAGGCTGTTGAACAGCAGTCCTAACTCTAATCTGGTATTATGGATTGCAGTAAGGGAATCACACATTATATCACAGCTGTGCAAGGTGAGCTAAAAACACAGAAATTGTTTTTTTAAGCTATATAAGAAGTGTGGTCCTTATGGTTAAAAGTAAGTGCTAGAACAGATACATTATAGTGGAAGGATACTCTGATACCATAAGTAACTTCACATTTTTATAGTACTGAAGCCTGAAAACCTCCTCTGTCAGCAGTAAACTGGTTTCTGGAACTGAGCAAATAATTACTACATGAACTCAAAAGTTTTACTAGATGCAAAGCTCTTGTTAGGTACTTCTGTTAGCTCTGTTTAGAAACCAAAAGCTACAAAACTTTTACTCAGCTGCTACTAGCCATATGGTGATGTTTTCTATTCATAATTAGACGACCATGACTTACTGGATTTGTCTTCTGAGTAAGTATGGAAAGGAAGGTGTAAAAGGATGTGAGAAAGACACTAGGCTGGGGCTTGAGAAACTCAGTACTGGACCTGGCCTCTTCCCTAATGACCAGGGATAACCTCAGAGGTCTCCAGCCCCATTTCTTGCACACCTCACTTCCCTGGTGCCTGAGCTCTGATCCCCTCACTCCTCCTTAGCCTCTCCTTACAGACAGTTCCCTGTTATTCTTGATTCACAGCTACTGTGAAGATAACTGAAGACTGCAAAATATTAAACTAAGCAGTGCATAAACATCTCTCGTAGTTTTGTTTTATAGTGAGTTCTTTGTAAATTTCTGAAAACCTAAGGAAAAAAAAGGCATCTGCTTGTAAAAGGATTTGTGGCAGATAAGTCTGTCAGACTCCACCAAATGCACCCACTTAAAGGGTCCTGTGGACAGCTTCACATGGGGCTGAGACAGGAGGTGGTGCCCTTGCCTCCCACTGAAGAATTAACAGTAAAATGGCTGTGAGTAAGGAGCAGGTAAGCAGGCCATCCTGGTGGGATGCTGCAGAGTACGTTTGTGCTTTTCCAGGGGAGACCGGGCACCTCTCACACCAATACAGAGCTAAGTGACACCAGGAGTTGAGTGTTCTGTGCAAGAGTAGCTGAGGCACCAAAGCCACTGAAATGCATCTGACTCCTGAGTGTGCAGACTGTCTGTAGTGGTTTATTTATTTTATAAAAGAGAAGGCAATTGAAAATTTGGAGTGTGTGAGTTCGTTTGGTCCAGGAGGAAGTGGCATTCACCCAGAGGCAGGCAGTACATGGATGGGGAGGGTGCCCAGAGGCAAGGGCAGCCAAGGCACTGCAAAATCATTCCTGCCCTGAAGTGACCAAGAGAAAGGCTGAGCCCCCAGGCCACACTGTGAGGAACGAGCTGGTCACTTCCAAGCCCGATTGCTTGGCCTGGGTTGGGGGTGGGAGCAGAGGGCTGCTGAGAAGAGCCCTACTGCAGACCCATTTCACAGAGGTGCAGCAGCCTAATTACTTAATTATATGTACTCAACACTGACTCCAGCAAAAGCAGAGCTGGGCCAGTGCCAGGAGCTTTTGAAAAAATCCAATTTTAGTACCCCGAAATAATAGTCCTTTCCAGCTGGAAAAGCAGCATGAGCAGTTTCTCGGAAGTGGGTTTGGAGCAGAGCTTAGAGGAAGGAAAAGACTCCCCCTCAGTCTCCAACAAATGCAGTTTTCCTTCTTTGAGTAACCACTCTTGTACTCTGTCAGGTTTTCAGCAGTCACATTGAGCAATCACACAGTGTTCAAACTCTTCCAAGCCAGAATAATTCCTTAGCAACACTGTCTGGCTCCAAGGCTGGAGAGGAATGGAGCAAAGAATGCACCCACAGGATGGAGAGGAAAAAAGGCACCGGGTCGGGAGAGCAATGTCCTAAGAAGAGCTGGCAGGTTTTTATTTGAATTGCAACAAATAGGAACATGCATATCAGACCTTTAAATCTGGGCTGTGCTACGATATTAGGGAAAACAGCTTTCAGAAGCTGGCGCTCACAATCCAAGTTTTAAAGCACTTGAGACAATTTTTAACAACAGTGAATGTGTGGAATGATTTGTTTCTCTGTGCCAGCTGTTTCTACACTGACTTTACCATGTTAAACGTGATTGCTACAAGTTAAAAATCTTTGTTTTGTGTCAGCTGGTGTCTTCAGGATGTCACCTTGAAACTGCGGGATGGTCAGAATATTTCCGTTTACCGCTCTCCTGTGGAAAGCACTGCTGTGCAAGAAGGGTAAAAATCAAGGACAGCTGCATCTCCACCTCCCATTGAGCCAAAGGAGCCATTAATTGATTGCATCCTGCTGTGTCTGTAAATGTACACAGTTGTCATAAGTGACAGTTTCACTTAAGTGGGTGCTCTCAAGACAGTTTTTTCTCTAAGATTGACCTCATCATTGTAATTGTAATTTCTTTCTTTTGCTAGTTTATTCATGGGTTTAACAGAAGCCTAAAATAAATATCTTGCAAAAGAGTTACTGTTGCAGAGAAGTCGTGTGTTATGCCCTCTGTATGCTGGTATTATGAATTTGAAATAAAGAAACAAACTGCCAGGAAACTGGGCTTTGTTTTACAATGGAAGACCAAAGTTAGGACGAGTCAGCTTCTCAGAGCTTTGAGCAGCCTTGCTGTCTCTGTTTCCCCCTGTTTCTCAGCAAGGTCTTGCCTCAATCAGGAAGGATGGAGCAGCAAAGGTAAAGCTCAGCAGCAACACTCTCGACTCCACTTATCAGGTAGATTTGCACCCTCACAGTTATCATTACAAAGCTCATGAGATAGCTGAGGCCCCTCAGCTTAGGAGTTCCAGGAAGAGACTTGCTGCTCATGCTGAAGGTTACTCAGAAGAAGCCACTGTGTCACACCAGCACTGGCCAATGAGTTCTGGAGAGGACATTTAGGAAGAAAAACACTCAAGAGGGTGCAGAACAGGTGAAGGCACTGCCAGTGTTTCCTCTGACTACCACAAGAGATTTTGACTGTGCCATCAGGTAGAGAGTTGCCCGTCCCAAACAAGTTGAGGAATAAGCAAAACACCCCAAACAAACAAATCCCCCAAACCCAAGCGATTTCTACTCCCACCCCAAACTGCCCATGCAAACAATTCCAAAGCCTAAGGCACAGTCTGAGGCACTGCAAAAATACAATGTCCTGTCTGTAGCAGGAAGAACATGGGAGCCCTTTAGAACATCCAGATAAGAGTGTTTTGAATCCACTGTAAGAGAGGTGTTTAATCAGGCTGCAGCTAAGGATAGCTCAGAGCTTATACCACTCCATTCTCTATCCCTCACCCCTCCATCTCTTCTTCCAAATTTGAGTCCAAGAAATCCACCAAGGACACAGGCACTGCAAAGCTTTTCAAGAGCCATGAGTATTAGATAGAGAAGGGAGAGCTAGAGCAAAGAATTTTAAGAGAACAGTGAGCAGTTTCTTGTTCAACAATGACCCAGCAAACACGGCAAAGTGGCTTTTGAACAAACCTGAAAAGCAAATGCCTAATTAGAAAGGGCCACAGCAAAGGCATCTTGGATAAACAATTTTAAAATGAAACAATACACGCGTGCTTGCTTTACTTTGAACTTCACAAAGAGCTGTCAGGATGAACAGCACTTGTGAGACCTGATCCAACCCACATGAAAGCCCAGCACACCAGGGAGAGGATTAGAAATAAGCGAAAAAAAAAGCATTTCCCAGCTTTAAGATTGAAATTACTGTTTACTGGTTTCACAAAACAAAATGCAAACCAAATCAAATTTCATGTGATGTGAAAACGTTAGCCTTGCACTTTGACTAGCAAGAACAACACCTCAGGGATATGGAGATCTGCTGGCCACCTGGTGCCTCAGAGCTTGATCGACTCTGGCTTTTGGTCACTGAAGAAGTTTGGTGGGAAATCAAACAGCTGACAAGAAAAAGCCAAATCAACCACTTCCCATGCATTAATCACCACTTCCTTGGCTGCAGCTTTGATTCGTTTCTAATCTGCAAAGATACCGTGGCTGTGGAGAGGAACCCAGCCTGTTCAGTCCCTCCCTGTGTCTGTACTGGGAGCATCTGGCACACATTGCTGTTCATCTGCCTTTTGTCACCTCTGTGTGCTCAGTAAGCCTGGGACCTGCAGTGGCTGCAAAGTGCTCAAGTGTCCAAGAAATCTGGCCACGGCCACAGCCACCCCAGCCTGCAGGACAGCACTTGCTTACCACCTCCCTGTCCCGTGAGCTGGCACAGACAATGTCCCCATGCTGGCTTCACAAGCTGCTGCACCACAACACCACTGCCTGGCCTGGCTCCAACCCTGGCTTTTCCAGGCCTTTTTCCAGGAGGAGTTATCCCCACACACACCTTACAAGTATCACTGGAGATTTTATTGGCTTGCTTGGGGGAAGCAGAGCTTGCAAAGAGGCTCCATCTCTCATTTTCTCCCATGAGTACCCCTTTAACTTTGAGGGCTTTCAGTCACCTCAACCAACCCATTGGCTCCCCAGAGCTGTGAGAATGGGCAGTATCATCATATCATGCCAATGCTTCTCTTAATCAAATCTTAAAACCCGGAGAAGGAAGAAAGCAATGGGTGGAGCTGGAAGTGAGCAAATCAAGGGAAGGGCACAAGAGTAAAATCAGTTAATTCACTGCCTTTGTTCCGCTACCTAATAGCCAGCAAATACAGAATTTCTTGCCTCATAACTTTGAAGAACCTCAAAAGTCACTTCCTCTCCGAGTTTGAGCTCTTTTAGGATGTACATATTCAAAAGGAGAAAAAAGCATTAGGCTGGTGTGTTCAGTGCCAAGCAGCTTTGGCCATGTGGCTCACATTAAATTTATCACAGCCCAAGGCGGCTGCTTTCATAGAGGACACAGGTGCAGCAGGAGCAGCCAAGGGAGCTGGAACATGCCAGGAAAACAGAGAGAGCAAAGGTCTCAGAACCACTAGCAGCTGCTGAAAGCCCAAATAACTTCAAAACAACACCTGGGTACCCCTCTTGCAGTTTTTTCTTCTAAGGAACACTGGAGCAAGATTAGGTTCTCTTCAATTTCATCATGTTACTGAAGCACTGCTGGGGTTCTTTTGTTGTTTTTTGGGGTTTGTTTTTTGGTTTTTTGTTTGTTTGTTTGGGATTTTTTGGCGAAAATCTTTATCTTTTGAGAAAAGACCCTGTATCCCACAAAGCACTTAAGGTTGGGAGGAACTCTGTGAGATCATCTAGTCCAACTGCTTCACTCCCACCAGAGTCAGCTTCAACAGAGTACCTGGAAACATGTCCAGTTAGGTTTTAAACATCACCAAGGGTGGAGACTCCACAATCTCTAGACAAGCTGTACCAGTGTTCAACCATTCTCACTGTAAAAAAAAAGCTTTTTCTTATGTTTAAACAGAATTTTGTGTGATTGAGGGTGTGCTGTCTTTTGTCCTGATACTAGACACTGACAAGATTAATCTGTCTCCATTCTCTTTACTCTGCCCCCACACTGATCGCTGCCCAAGCCTTCTCCAACTCCAGGTCTCTCAGCTTCATTAACAGGTGCTACAATCATTTAATCATCTTAATCATGTTCAGTATGTTAAAAATTTTATTTTTAATTGGCTTGAAAAATTGTGCAGTTCCTTTTTCATTTCTTGGTGTGGTTAAAACAAATAGCATCTACATGACCTTTGCTGGATTGCCTGTTTGTTTCTTATTCTCTAGTTTAGTTTTAGTAATTTCTGCCAGACAGTAATCACCCTCAAGGAAACTACCAAGGTGGCAGACTGTTCAGGGCAAGAACTTAATTTACAGCTGAGCAACAGCAGATACTGCTCAGCGCTGTTACAACACTTGCACCTGTTTGAGTTGGAGCTGATGGGCACACAGGGCCTATGTAAAGCTAGATGTTTTGAAAGTACTGCCTTCAGAAAGGCTAAGTAGGCTGATTTGTTCCCTTTGGAGTGTGTTTCTCCAAGCAGTAATAGAATTTTGTCCAAGTTATGGGCCATTAAGTTCACTTCCTATTTTGGGCAGATGTCTTGCATTGCACAGGGAACACAAGTTATTTGGATTCATCTCCCATTTAGAAATGCAGAAATGAGTTCTTTCCTGCCATGTGCTGCATCTTTCCTGCTTGTCAAAGACGCAATTTCCCTGAGTTTTCCACAAAATTTACAACAAAGTTTCCTGCAGCAGGGCCTGGGCAGTCCTGTAATATCAAGAACAATGGAGACTTGCCTGCTCTTGGAGTTACTTTGGAAGATAAATCACACCTGGCCAAACACCTTTGGTTCATTTTAAGTAGCACTAATGATATAAAAATATTAGACTAAAGTAATTTCTTGACCAATCTAAGGCAGTTTCTATTAATTTGCTTTCCTAGAAGATTAAGGAGCAAAGGACCTTCATTCAATAACTTCTGAGGAACAATCTTTGTCTGTCTTTACCTGGTAAGGCCCACAACTTTCCATCCAACACCCAGACCAGCTGGATATCACAAGGTGCCACTGGAAAGTGGCAGATGGTAAGTGATATCCTGGCAGCTCAGGAGATCTCTCTGTGAGGATTAGTTAAAAAACACCTGTGTAATTCAGTCTGTATGCTGGCATTACAAATTAATTGAAGAGATGAGGTACACTGCTTTCAATGCATCACCAGATTAGCTGCAATTCTACTTGTACATGCAAGCAAAGACTCAGTGTAATTAAGTTCTCTGTTTACAGGAAAAAAGATAATCCCTTCAAGTAGTTCCCTTTCCTCTCCTAATTTTGCAGTAATGACTCTGGTCCTATATGCTCTGCTTCACTTTGATGAATCCTAACCTTTTCTTAATTAGGAGATATTTTTATCACATCCATCTGTACTTATTTTTTTTCCCTGACTGTATTTATTAATCCAAATGACAGCTTAAATCAACATCTGTACCATGTGAAGAACTCTACAGTGGAAGCATATTGATTTAATATGGAAAAGATTCTTGATGCATTTTATATTTGCTGCTCATATTAAAAAAATGTGTGATTCAGAAAACTAAAATATCAGTAATCCAGCTAATGGGTGTTTCCCAAAGCACAAAGAACAAAAGATGCATCAGGTGTTCAGAAAACAAAATTTCATTTATTATAAAGTTTCTGAAACAGTAAACACTTTATCAGAAGTACAATGAACTGGCACTATTTCTTTAAAACGTTGAACTGTCTTCCAGGAACAACACCTGGAATATTCAAGAGAAATCTTAAGCCATGGAGTAAGGTGATGCAAGGCCCACCTCTCTTCCCAGCCCTTGTGAGTACCACCAGTGGAGAATTGGCATTGAACTTTTATTTGCATTTGTGACCTAACAGCTCTCAAGATTCAGGGGGTAGATCACAAACTGGAATTCACCCTTTTATATTTAGGGACCTGCACACAAAAATGTGACAAATGAGACAAATCACAATGCCAATTCCACTTTGGACAAAATAAAAATATTATTAAACATTTAATTTAGCAACTATAAAATCTATAAGCCTCT